CTCCGGGCCGCCGAGGCCTCCAGCTGCCCACAACTGGTGGGGATCCTTGGCTTAATGCCCTTCGCCAGGTGGGAGGTGGGCCTCGGAGCCGCCCACCCAGGAATGGAAGCTGAAAAGGGAGCAAGGAAAGCTTTCTTTAGGGAGGCTCATGCTGTGTGACGCAAAGCCATCACGGCAGGAACGTAAACAACAATCACTCTGTGAAATTAAGTTTTGCTTAGTGGGGGAGACGTCGGCCTCCCCTTAGAGTGCCCTGGCTGTGTGGAGCCGGACGGTGTTGCAGCTGTTAAAAGGTACTGCTTAACATTTAGGACTCGTCCATCGGGCCAGACGAGACTGTTGACCGATTCGGGGTGCCTTTAAGGGTGTAGGAACGAGAAGCATGAGAAGCGAAGGAATCCACGCTTGAAATGAACGGCCAAACAGCTGTGGGTCTACACAGTCATGGGTGGCACATTTAACAGGACCCGCACCTTGCCGGAGGAGGATCCTGGAGCATCTTCTGCCCGCTTGGACTTCCAAAACAACGTAGAGGAGACGGATTGAAACAGTTAAAAATGGGACAAACACACGAGCTAAAAGCAGGTCTCCAAGACCCAGGTTTTTATTCCGATCTCTCCAGAATAGCCTCTCAAGGGGGAGAGCGCGTCCTTTCTGGCAGGAAAGGGGCTTTACCGCCTCCCGGCACTCTGTTTGCCAAACCAGGGCCCTGCTTGTCTGGGAGCTGTGCGGATGATTTTGAAGAAGGGCAGAAATATTTTTAAATCTTTATTTCTCGAGTGGGAAACAGGCTGGCTGGGGCAAAACAATCATTACAGTTTAAAAGATATAAAGCTATATGAATATGAGATAACAAGAAGAATACACTGATTGTGAGGACCAAGAATGACCTTGGAGGGTTGGTGCAGGGAGCAAACATCCTAGAATTTCTCTCCCCCCCCCCCACCGCGTGGCCCTGGAGTTTCATTCAGCCCCCATTCTTCTGGGGAGCAGGGAGGCAGCCTAAGACCAGGGTTTCCCCTCAAACGGCCCAAATTAAAGGAAGGGCCCTTTAATTAGGGCTTAGGGTGCCTTTTACAGATGCTCGTTCAGTTCAGTGGCTTCATATAATGCACCAGAGTCAGGGCCACCACTGGCTTTCCTCTGCAGCATTGCTGAGGATTAATTGTGAAATCATGTGCTTGTTTGAGTAAAGGGGAAAAGCAACCGTTAATATACTCTGAACCCATAACCAGGTCCAGACTGCAACTCAGGAAGTTTGCAGGGAACTGGCCTTCTGCGGCTCAGTGGTTGGGGGACTTTGTCCAGAACTTTACAGCTGAACTTTTCCTCTTTCTCGGCGCTGGTGTGTGTGCCCCGTCCTGAGACGTTTTGGAGCAGATTTCATTCATAACATGTGATTTCTCCATCAGTGACTTGTGTCTTATTTCGTTTAGAACAGATTGTGCAACCCCCTCCCCGGGTGGAGGGAAGCCGGTGGGGCAGGGGGAGAGAGAGAGAGAGAGTAAGGGACATTATATTTCTGTTACACATGGCATTCTGTTCTGTTCTTTAAAGTATGCCATTGTCTCGTTTTTTCTGAAGTTTACAGAAAACCAGCTGAATTGACCGAGGTGCAGAGAGATGGAGCCTTCTTTCCTGTGGCAAGGACCCTATTCTTCTTCCGTTTGCTGTCCTAGAAAAGAGAAGCAAGTGGGCTGAACACAATCACAGCATGCAAATTGGGAAGAAAGAGACCAGAGCGTATGGAAATCACCCAAAAATCCAACCGGATGTCATCCCCTTCAGGAGA